GGTTCCTGAGGCTGTAGGTCTTGTCAGAGCTGCCGGCCTCGTCTGTCTCCCTCAGGGCGGCTAAGGGTTGTGAACCACTGACCTCACGGCTTGCAGCCCAGCGCTCACATGACAGCCTCTGCCTGGCTCCTGAGAACCCTTGTGAGCGCTGAATGCCAGTGAAGGCAGCGCGGGGGCGTGTGAGTTGTTCCACTGTCGAGCCAGACACAGCCTCCAGGAGCCCACGAAGGTGGTCAGCTGCCACCCCCCTGCCCTGACATGGCTGCCCCTCCTGCCACAGGAAGCCAGCTGCCCCCCAGCCCCCTGACCCCTGCACTGCGCACACATCCCTGCTGTGGACAGTGGCTTGGTGACCCACCAGGTCTTCACGGTCTGATTCTCTGAAGCCGATTGCCAGGACTTCCTTCCTAGTCTCTCAATGGAATCCCGGCTGCATCTTAGCCACACTCCAGGCCCCACAGGCAGGTGGGCAGGTATGCCGTGCTTGGGAGGGGCGCACTCGCCCGGAACCATGGACCCTGGGCCTCCTGTGGGCTTGGAGAACTTCTCCCTGAGCACAGCCGTGGGTGACAGTGACAGCCGCCGTGGGGCCATAGCCCACTGCTGCACCCTCCTGCTCTTCCCTCTGCGCCCTCCTGCCACTCATCCTCTGCCCAGTTCCTCTCTCGTTCCCGCGCCTTTGTCCTTTAACCCTTCCCATGGGCAGTGCCCACCTGCCATCCAGGACAGGACTCAGTATCACTGGCCGCTGTGTCCCCAGTCTGGTGCCTGCGGCTCAGATTTCTTGGAGTTGGGTAGCTGGAGTGCAATGGAGACTGCAGAGTGCGTTCCCCGTGTGCCCGCACTCCCCCAAGCCCACTGCGTCCCCAGCTGTCAGCGATGAGACGTGGGCGCCAGTGCTTACCCTTGCCATGGGCTAGCCAGCGGCACTAAGATAAAGCCAAGTTTGTGTTCCCTGGGTTCCTCTCTCTTGGTGTTACGGTTGGCAGCTGTGTCCTCTTAGTTAATGTTCTGTTTTACCGCGCTGCCTTCTCGTAGCTGTCTCAAGAGCTACACAGACCCCAGGACAAAATTCATGATCAAAGGGTTTATTAAGGGTGGTACCACAGTTGTCAGGCCGGTGGGAACTGTCCGGGCTGCTGTTGTTCATCAGGATGTGTTACATTACAGTGATTCTCCACTTTCCGAACGCGGTGGCCCTGTCATACAGTCCCTCATGTGGTGGGGACCCCCCCACCCTAACATTGTTTTCGTTGCTACTTCATCACTGCACTTTTGCTACTGTCATGGATCGGGCGGCCCTGTAAAAGGGTCATTCGACCCTCAAAGGGGTCACGACCCACAGGTTGAGAACCGCTGTGTAACAACGTTTCAAGTCTGCTCATACATGCTCACAGGGGCACACTGCTGTGCTGTGAGGCAGTCAGCTGGAGCACCATGGGGCAGCAAACCCAGCTCCCTGAATGAAGTGCCCGCTGGCAGGCACCCACTCCAGTAAGCCTCAACCAGAAGGCACTCGGCTCCATTCCTGTGGTCAACAAGCCCAACTGCAGGGCCCAGTTAAGTGCCCAGAGGCACCCCTCTCCACAAGCCCGCTCCTGCACAAACGCACTCCGCTTTGCCTGCTCGGTGGACTGGGCAGTCCGTCCCTCTGTTCCATGCTCTGCCGCTGCTCCTCTAAGGGGTCTTCTGGATCCAGGAGGTTCACTGTGTAGGGAAGGATCCCAGATCCAGAAGACAAGGAGCTCCACGCCTGCCTCTTGCTGGTAATGAGTCCCCGCCCCCACTTCCTAGAGGGCCCATCTCGTGCCCCACAGGATGACATTTACACATGAGTCCTGTCAGGTCTCCCACCTTCTCACCAGACCAGGCAGGGAAAGGTGCTGTGGTGGGAGTGAGAGACTGACTCGAAGAGCCTCATTATCTCACTGCCCCCACAGTACTGTTTCCCCCCAAGGACTAGGATTCACAGACTTTAGGACTCAAGGGGTGGAAGTGGGAGTGTTTCCATCACTACTTCCCATCTAACCCTCGCAACATCCAGCTTTCTGTTTCCTGGCCCCGTGCTCTGCTGGTCGGAGGCCCTGGTCCCGAAGGCAGGAGTGCTCCCACCAGGAGACACAGCTCTGGGACCGCTGGACCAGAGGTGAAGGGGGCCACGAGCCCACACGGCGCCTCCTGCTCAGCAAAGTTGGCCCACGCTACTGGTGGCGTGAGTAGTCCTGATCATTGAGGAGGGCTGGCACCATTGTCACAGGGCAGCAGGAGGAGAGGGTGCCCCTGGGGTATAGGGGATGCCCAGCACTGGCAGTGAGCCATGGGAACGGAAGTAAAAGAACAGAATGTGGAGTGGTCCTGGAACGTGGAGCAGGGGCACCCTAACCTTGCCTGAGGCCTTGGGGCACCGGCATCGTCCCAACAGCCTCCTCACTGAGGTGTGGTCGTGTGATTGCTTAGCTGAGAGCCACAGGTGAAGGCCAGCTACAAAGATGGGGAGGGGGGGTGTTTGTGCAGAGAGGAGGAAAGGTCCGCAGAAGCAGAACCTGCTTCTCTCCAGGAGCCAACACTCTTTCACTTGCTGAGCTGGAGGCCAAGGGACAGGAGCAGGAGAGGAGCCGGGAGAGGGCCAGGAGTCAGCTCGCAGAGGCTCTTCCCTCCACCGGGCAGCAGGCTGTGGCCGGAGCTGCATTTTCCAAAGAGCTTATGGGCGGCAGAGTGAGTGACAGTCCAGAGGGGCAAGACCGCCTGCACGGAGCGTGCTCCGGGCCCAGCCCTGCAGAGCAGGGGCGGGATGGGGGGATGTGCCTGGAAGCCTCGCAGTAGGGTTGCAGAGGCAGGGGCAAGTGACGGATGATTTTTCACCCTTTTGTTTTCTTTCTGCGTTGATACGGAGCAAGGGTAGGTGCAGAGGGAGGCGGTGGGGAGAAAGGGCAGATGAGGACTCAGGGGCAGCAGGAACCCAGCCAGGCCAGCAGACGACCCCAGATGTACCCTTCCCGTCTCAGCCCCTTGGGCACTTTCCTCCGTTGTTTCGTGGGCACAGTGCACAGTGCCTGGGGCCCTTTCCATCCTAATCCAACGCTCTGTCAAGGTCCACACTCCCCAGGCTGGCCCCTCCTGCACATGGGCAGACTCCCCTCTGTCCCACATTGATCGGTGTTCTAGAATCGTCTCTCTTGTCCTTTGCTCTCTGCCCATAGGCCTACCCACACCCCTCTGAGCTATTCTGGTCACCTCTGACCCACCGCCTGTGAGTTCATCCGACTCATCCTGACCCATCTTCCTGAGAGCCGGACACACCCCGGCACGTGAGCCCGTTCAGCACGGAGCCATCCCTTGTGGTCCTCCATCCTCCACTCTCCCGGGGGCAGCGTGGTGGGGACAGGATGGGTGTCTTGGCCCTTTCCTGGACATAACCTTCTCTGGACTTCTGCTGTCCATTTGTTTTAAGGTCTGTTTTCTCAGGCTGGACAGGCTGGTGATGAGCTGTGAACTGGTGCTTTTCAGTGGTGGTCAGCAGTGGTCTTCTGAGCAGGGCCATTGTAGCTGGGAGGGCAGACCCAGTGCCTCCCCGCACAAAGAGGACCCCCTCTTCCCCGGGGCTGGCTCGTGGACAGTAGGCTGCTGGCTCAGGCCAGGGTGGGAGAGATCTCAGTGGAGGGCGCGTGGGAGCCACACAGCCACGTGCTTTCTGAGTGGCCCAGCTTCCATGTGTTCTTGGCAGGCCCTGCCGCGTGAACACTCTCCTTCTTAACATGAAGCGGGCTGTACAAGCCTGGTTTCCACCGTGTGAGCTGTGGGCACTGCATGCATCAACTTCCCAGTAGCAGTTGGGGGCGATGGGAAGGTGACTGCTGAAAGTGCCTCTTTAATCAAAAAATGTATGGTGGACTTAAACTCTAAAAGTATGTCCTATGTCCGTTAATGTATTTTGTAAGCATGTATTTGAATAAGCTTGTTTTGATATATAAATTATATTTTTCCTTAATTACCTTTACATTTAATTATGTATTTCATGATATAGGTTATAAATTATATATAAATATGATTAGATGTGTGCTCTCCTGAGATAATTTAAGAAGGAGTAGAAAATAGGATAAAATGCACAAGAAAATTAAAATTCTTAATTACTGTATGTGAGTGACAT